ATTGCTGCTAGATGAAGAAGAGCTGATCTTCCTGAAACACAGGATTCTAAATAGGCTGACTAGACCTCAGTGGATGGACTTGCCCTGGGGAACTGCTGGGGACGCCGACAACACAGTGGGCCTTAACAGAGATGACAGAGTATATGCTTCATTGCAGGAGGCGAGAATCTGTGGGAGACTGCTAGTGTGAACGGGGGTATAAAGATAATTAAGATTGTTTGAGATGTTCTGTATGAAATACACAAAAAGTTCAATTTAAAAAAACACATTAATAAAAAAGGAAAAAGGAAAGTTACTTTGTAGAAAGAAGGGCAAGCAGACCAGCCCCATCACCCCTTAGTGGCTTGTTTTCACTTCTTTCCTTTCTCATGCTTTTTATATGCCAATATATCATTTAACTTACTTTCTAAAAATATTCACTAGCTACCAATATTAAAAATGATTATAGCCGGGCGTGGTGGCACATGCCTTTAATCCCAGCACTCAGGAGGCAGAGGCAGGCGGATCTCTGTGAGTTCAAGGCCAGCCTGGTCTACATAGTGAGTTCCAGGACAGCTGGGGCTACAGGGAGACCCTGTCTCAAAAAGACCAAAAAAATGATTATAATAAATGGACATATACCTGTCCTTTGGAAAATTTCAAATTTATAGGGTGAGTCCTATTATTAGAACTAATATTTGTTATTGAAAGTTAGCATAACCAAATAGTTTGTTGAGTTAAACTTTAGAGGACCAAGTCTTATCATTCTGTGGAATACAACAAAATACAATCAAAATCCCATCAGTACCCAATAGGAGATCATTACCTGGCACACTAGGGGAAAGGGCAGAAGATTCTATTTGGAAAACCACTAAGCATGAACCTAAAGGTGAACTAATAGTTTTGAATCTTCCAGTAGCTTCCTTGCCACCATAGCATTTCTCTTTGAAACAAAAGAAAAGTTACTTGGCTTATTGCTCAGCTCATGCTTACTCTTATGCCATTTTCTTACTGAATAAAAATTTTCTTACTGAAAAAAATAAAAACAAGTCAACACCCTGCTATGCAAACAGCAGGTGTTCAATATATGCTGCTTGCCTGCTAACCAGAGGGAGGAAGACCTACCTGCCTGCCTGGAGGTGAACAAAGCTTTAGCTAATAGACTCATTGCAATGGCCTCATGCTACCAATTCCACAAAGCAACTATCTTTTGGAACATGTCAGCTTCCTGGATAGGAAATAGTTTTAGAATAGAAATGTTCTTGTTTGCATAAATTAGAATAAATATGCAAATAAAAGGTTTGTCTTTTTCTTCCCCCCAAATTAAGTTGCTTCAAACTAGAGAAAATAATTTATTGTGAAATTTCCTGTTGGAGGAGAGGATTTTCATAGTAAACCTACCTATCAAACTTAAATTTCTGTTACAAATCAGAAATAAAATGAATGTTTTCTCCTTGGGAAACTAAAGCGTCTGTGAATATCACCATGAAATTTTACCTTTCATGCCTTTTAGCTTCAGGTAGCTATGTGCTTTCTTTTTTGTTTCTGCCCATCTCAAAAGTAAGGTGACCTTCTGCACAATGGCTTCTTAATAGGCACATATTCTCCCTAAAAGCAAAAATCCCTGGCTCTAATTCTCTATGTCTACTGCAGTAAACACTGGTCAGGTGAAAGGCCTTTGTGTTAGATGGTGGATATGACTGTGTTCACATGACTTTGAATGTTCCTGTTCCAATATGGTGATTTGGATTTGAGCCATGTGTTCTGGTTAATGAAATGAGTTGGTGCTAGCATAATTAAATAGTTTTAAGCTATTTGGAGTACTTGCTTTCTCTTGGACCATCTATGGAGGCTTCGTTTCTTCTAAGCTGCAGATCAGTCAACCTCAATACTCTTTAATCAATGGGCATGAATGGCACATTTGACTTCTGTCCAAATGAGCACAGCAAAGTGCAGGAAGGTTTGGAAACTGTCTGATGTACCTGTGCATCCTCAGGACCTAGTACAGCTCTTGGTTGTCTAATGAAGGCTTATAAGGGAACCAGAAAGCACATTACTGATGCCCCATGTGGTCCCATTTGCTGCAAGCTCAGAACATAGTCAGATGGGTCATTCTTCATTATTCACCTCTAGTGATCACAGAGCAACATGGCTTTGTGGCTTGTAGCGTGCATCTTCATGGATGCTGATGGCTGTCCCGTAGATTTTAATCAGCATAACCACTTATAAAGTAATGCAAAGTAAGCATTATCAGTTTTTTTCCAGAAAGGAAAGCTCTGGAAGAATCCTTTATCTTCCAGTAGATCACACGTGAGGGTGACGAGGAATGTTCTCACAAACAGTAGAAGTGAATTTGCTCCCTTTCACCTGCTCTTCCTCCTCCACTCTTCTGCTAGGCCTTGCTTAACATTTTTTAATATTTAATGCTATGTTCATTTTGTCTATTCAATGTCATTTCTATTTTGTAGAAACTTTTTGAGAAGTCACTTTGAAATATTTAAAATAAATGAGCTTGATATTTGACACATTTGTATTGTTTAGGATTATTTTAAACTTCAAAGCTTGTTTTTTTCTTTCTCTGCTGACTTTTTATATTTAAAGGTCATGACACATAATGCATTCATGTTTCATCTTTTCAAATTCCAACTACAGGTAGCAATAGAAACAAGATTTCATGGGGCAAAGGTTACAAAAGTTGATTTGTTTGATAATTGCATTGGTAGCATTCTTTGACCACTGATAAGGTAAAACGTGATTGAAATAATATGTTAATTCAAACACAGTGGGTCAGGATTGTCTCAATATATTATAAAAATTAGTATTGGTCTGTGGTTTAATTTCCTGCTTTTTTTAATAGTCTAAGCTCTCTGATCACAAATAATAGGTATTTACTTATGGGTACCTCATATTTGAAAAATACCTCTGGACATTTGTAGCAATGAGAAGACACTTTTCTACTTGATCATTTATTTTTTGTAAGGATGTGAAGCTATCCATTGGTAAGGGAAAGAGAAGAGGAATGGGTACAGATGGGTGCAGCTGGAGGTGAACTAGGGAATTCAAGACAGATGAGATGGTAAGAGAATTTCAGTAGTGCAACCTACTGTCTGTCCTGAACCTGAAGCTCTGTTACCAGAATTTCCTCACACCATTGCTTCTCCCATCCTAGTCTTCCAACCCTATCCCTGGGCTGCACTGGTTAAACCCCAGTGACGTTACACTGACACCTAACAGACAGACAACATTTATTTGTTCAGCATTAACTCTATGTCACATGGCCCAATCATATGCTGTCAGCAGAAAGTACTCCAATAAAATATAGAAGGTAAAGTGGATTTACAACAAGTTAACGTGAAGAAAATTGGAAAAGTAATTCCACATCCAAATGCACTGTAGCTTGAAACCTCAGCAGAATTCATAAAACTTATCAGTTAATGTGCTGTTTACTTGGAGACTTCATTGTTTGAATTATCTTTGGATTCAAGTCATTTCCCATATTAATGATGCCAGACTATAGTTTTCTTTAATCTTAGACATTCTCAGTAATGGCTTAACCATACTGGCAAAAAGCACAGAGTCTGCATATTATAAAAATTTCTGAAGTATTGTGTTTTATCAAGGCTTTTAGTATTAGTCAATGAAATGATGAAATAGAACTTGGAAAAATTATTCTAATATCCCCAAATATGATCATATACCATATATTTTATTTTAAGAAAAGTGTAAGTGAAAAACAAGAATGTGAAAGAGAAAACTCATCTTTAGACATGTTTCTTCATACATATAATCTTTCTCAAATGCATTATATTTGCAGATATGTTTGCTTCTCCTGAAGTCACAGAGAAATATTTTTTCTCTTGACGGCATCTGGAAACTAAGCATTTAATAAATGTTGATTTGTGGCATTTTTTAAAATTCAAAACATATATTCTCGATTAATCCTGGATATGAACTTGATTTTAGAGTGATTTAAAGGATGTTAAAACCAAGGCAGATGCTGGGATGCTTCTTCAGGTCTCAGTGGCCCAGTACCTGTGGCTGATCCTGTTGAACTTCTAAGAAGAGCAAGAACACCCATGTTCCTGTTAGTCCCTTCCCTCGACCCCTCCTTAACTTTAAAAGGGAATAGTTATGGAATAGAGGAGACAGCAGCCCCATGAGGAAGGAGGCAAGGGACTGAACAAGGCTGGAGACTCAAAATTGCTTCTCTAACACCTCTGGATTCAGCGCAAAGTTTACTTTGCCCATTTACAAGCTAGTTACTTCCTCATCTACAAACAGATGAGGTCAGACCAAATCTCCCAGGCCTCTTCTAATTCCCAAACCCCATAATTCAAACTGTCCATAAAAGATAAATGCAACTCCGGATGCTCATTTTCCAAAGTAAAGTAGTGAAGGATCCATTAACAAATAGCAGAAAGTGTCCAGAACTTTGTGGGTGCTCAATAAATATTAAACAATGAATTTCCCCTTCCATCTGCAAAACAAGTGAGTAAATGCTGAGTTCATTCCCAGAATTTCATGTGAGAAATAATAAGTGAGAACAAAGCACTTTCCAGATAATGAAGTAATTCAAACAAGCTGCTTTAATGGGCGTGGGGTATGAGTAGATGACGCAGGAATCAAGTGCTTTTTTATTATTACATCTGTGAAATGATCACTATCCTTGCTTATCACCAGAAAGTCAGTTTGAGTAATTTATATGCAAATGGAATTTTTATGTGACTTTAGCATTTATCACTTTTAGCAAAATGAAACTTTTCTCTTTACCTGATAACTAGTTTAATGAAACACTCCATCAATATTATACTATTTTTCCCAAAGAAAGTGTTTTCCAAATGGTTGTTACAGCACACAAATAAGAAAATTATAAATTTAATAGTCTTTACACTGAAAAAATAACATTCAGATATTGTTACTAAGGGAAATGATACATTGCATTATACCTCTATGGATACTTTCATAGTATGTTGGATATGTTAAATGTTTAGGTCCAATAAATATGTACTATATTTTTACAGTGTTCCAACAGAAGGCAGCCAGAAGACAATCTGATGGTGATAAGTTCCATGGTCCCCCTAAGAAACCAGGTACTGATGTTAACTTCAATCTGCTCAATAATCCTTAAATCCAGCTTAAGAATATTGTATAAAGCCTCTTATGTTAGATATAAATAATTGGGTTTGTTTGTATCTTATACAAATACAATTATGCTGTAATAAAATCAATTGGTGATAATTATTTTAATTAACAAAAGCAGGAAGTGCCCTTGTCATGTTGCCTGTGGTAATGTTGTCAGGGCTCCAGGAAGGTAGAGGAAGACAAATTCTATAACATGCATCAGAGGCTGTATTGTTTAGAGCTACAAAGTAAAGCCTCTTGAGAGACTAGCTGGGGGATTTTCTGTGCTGTGCTACGAATGCCAAAGATTGTTCCGTTATCCTACTATCCTCTTGCCTTCAGCACTTGATCAATACAATCTGAGCAATCATTTGTCATGCAGAGTAGAGCTGCACACGATAGTCGCACACGCATCCCATACAGAGTATTTTCTGCTTCCAGTATTCACTCAGCCATTTATCTTTTTGGAAAGATGGATTCTAGCATGCTATTTATTACAGAGTTTTCTAAAAGTTGGGACTGAATGAATGTTCAAATATGTAAAACATAAAAGTTGGTTGACACAGGGTTTGGGTTAGCTGGCTCTGGTAATCAGTGAGTAGATGCATCATTGAAATACCTTCAGTCCCAAAGCACATCGCCTTGAAGTTGATAACAGGAGATTGTTGAGAAAGAGAAAATGAAATTGTTAGATTTAGAACGACAGAGAAAGAATAAAGTTTAGGTAAAAGACCAGAGCCAGACCTTCAGCAGATTTAACAGGACTGAGTCAGCAAAGGTGACACGGCTTCTCCATGGAAAGGCAAGCTGTGTAAAAGTGTGAGGGGGTGGTACTGAATTGCATATGGTTAGAAAATAAAGAAGGCACACACACACACACACACACACACACACCTCACAGCCATGAAGTCTGGATTGGAGTGTCCTTGGGCCCTTTTCCTGGAGTTGCAGAGCAAAGAAGCGGTTTAGCCTAGTCGTGGCTAGCTGATAACTGGGGTGCAGGGACAGCAGAGAGACATTCTGGCAAGAGAAAGAGGGTTGTCTGGCTTTCTGAAGCTATGGCATTCCATCAGGCCTGAGACATGGATGTGACTATTAACAGTGGGGCTAGGGCGAGACATTTATCTCAGGTGCACAGTCCTTGAATACAGTACTTAAGGAAGCCAGACTTCTACTCTTCCATGGATTATTTAGATATACTGCCTGCAAATTAACATGCAAAACCTTCACTCTCTTTAAATGGCAGTTATCCATTTTTAATCAATTTTGTAAATTAGCAATGTCATGGTTTAGACGTAAAATGTTCCCAATGGGCTCATGTGCTTCAATACTTGGTCCCCCAGCTGGTGGCACTGTTTGGGAAGATTGTAGAACCTTTAAGAAATGATGTCTACCTGGTCAAATCAGGTCAATGGATGGACTGAGAGAGTCCTAATAAGCCCTACTTTTGGCCCAAATTCTCTCTGCCTCTTGATTTTCTGAGCAGCACCAATCTGTGCCACAAGTAAACCCAGCTATTTCAGTAGCCGTGCCTTTCCCACCATGATGGTCCATACCCTCCCACACCAGGAGCAAACCAGGAACCCTTTCTTCCTTAAGTTGCTTCTGTCCAGGCATTTTATCACAGTAACAAGAAAAATAACTATTGCAGAAAATAGGTACTGAGAGTGGGATTGTTTCTATAATCCGTCTGACCGTATAGTTTATATATCCTTGGAACTAGGATGAATATGGAGGAATTTAGAGCTACAAGCCGGAGAAGTCTTAAGAGTGCTGTAAGCAGAGATTAATGGGCCTTTCTGGTGGGAATGCAGAAGACAGTAATGCTGGCAGAAACACGGACAGTAGAGTCCAGGCTCATGAGGCTTCAAATGGGGCAAAGTATTTGAACTAGAAATCATTCTTGTAATATTTTAGCAAAGCAGATGGCTGAATTCTGTCCATCTTGAAAATGTGGGTGTGGCCCAATTTGACAGTAATAGACTAAGTTGTCTGGCAGAGGAAATTTCAAGGCAGTAGTATACATGTTGTAACATGGGGTTCATGGTGGCAGCGTTTGAGACCCAACGGACTTGCAGAGTTCCACCTCCACTGCTTTGCTGCTTAAAGCACACATGGACTCTCCCTAGGGATGGAGCCTCTTGGTGTCTGTAGCTATTTCTTTAGCCAATTTTACAGCAAGAGGGCAGAAAGTGGAGCAGGAAGAAGTAGGGAAATGTGGTGTTCCACAAGGAAAGGAATCTGAATGTGGTTAAAGTTGCAGACAGATTAGACAAGGCAGGTGCAGGCAAAGTGGCTATAATTGTTTAAAAACTATTATTAGCGCAGCTGAGTACTGAAACGATAGAAATGATTTCTTGATGGCAAGACCACATCCACCACATGCTTCAGAGTGTAAAACTGAAATCCCATTCCAAAAACTTTCATTTTAATGGAGAGTGCCTGAAAAAGAGCTCCTGAACAGAGCATGTTTCTAAAGGGGTTCTCTGGTTGAAAACAGTCGCCTAAGGAGTTTTCCGTGGTTCAGTCACACAGGCACTGCAGCTGCAGAGAACTTCATACATCGTATTTTTAGCATATGCACCCTAAATTCCTCCCAGATCCACCCCTTTCCCCTACCCACCCAAACTTGCATCCTCGTTTTTGTTTGTAAATCTATCATGTCCAATTTCTGCTGCTCGTATTCTCTAAGCTTGTGTGGCATCCACAGGAGCCTGGCCTGGTGGACCTACCAGGAGCCACACTTAAAGAAAGCCAGCTCTTCCTCTCCCAGGCACTAGAAATTGCCAGTAACTCCTCAGCTAGAGGTGGAACTTCGTGCCCACCTCCCCTCTCCATGCTGGGATTTCATCTGACTTGGGCTTACGAGGGCCTTCTGCATTCTAACACAACCATTGTGCAACTGCCCTGGTGTGTCCAGGAAACACTGTTTCCTAGTGGTCACCCACTGCATCTGGCTCTTAGAATCATTCAACCCCTCTTCCAAGATGATCCCTGAGATTTAGGAAGAGGAATATGATATAGACATCCCATTTAGGGCTGAGCACTCCAGAGTGTGTTCCTCTTTATACCTTGACCAGATGTGAGTCTCTGTGTTAATCACCATTTACTGCAAAAAAAAAAAAGCTTCTCTGATGAGGGTTGAAGAGTCCCTAGATTCACTAATCTATGGGTATGATAAGTCACATAGAGTCAGTTTAATACTCAGAACCTTTCTTTTCATGTATTTTTAATTGAAATTTTATGCATTTCATACAAAACATCTTAATCATCTTTATACCCCCCTCGCCATCTGCAGCCCCCAAAGCTACCCCCTCTACACACCTGGATTTCAATCATTCTGTCATATATGATAAGCTCTATGGAGTCAAGATTGTATACCCAGATGTCCCTCAGTGCATTCATCCATTGGAGTCTACAGCCTATTTAGAATCACACCCTTAAAGAAAAACAGCTCTCCCTCACCCAGCAGTAATTAGCTGCCTGTCAATCGTTCTTTAGCTAGCATTTCTCCAGTTCTATGCTGGGTATTTGTCTGATTGAGTTTGCATGGGTCTTATGCATGCTGACACTATTGCTGCAAATGCATATGAACAAGTTCCGAGAGGTCTGGAAGCCTCTGTGTCCTTATGCTCATGCACTACCCCTGGATCTTATGCTCTTCTGCCTTGTCTTCTCCAATGGTCCCTGAGCCATGGGTGGGTAAGGTTTAATGTAGGAGTTTGATCCAGGGACACACACCCTACAGTCTCTTATTCTCTGCACTTTGGCCAGTTGTGGCTTTCTGTGTACATCTTACTCTGTTGCATGAGGAAGCTTCACTGGTAAGAGCTGAGAGATGCATTAGTATTCTATTTTATCTAAGTAGTATTTTCTACCCCCTTGTTCCACTATGATTCCTGAGCCTTAAGTCTAGAGGCTCCATTGTAGATGTGTCAATTAGGACTGGGCTTCTCCCAGACATTCATTCTCTGTGTATGACCAGTTGTGGAACTCTATTAATACTCTCCTTCTGTTTAAAAAAAAAGAATAAGCTTCTTTGAGGAGTCATGAATGGTATTCTTGTCTATAAATTAAGGATCCAGATTGCCTTACAGTAAGAAATTACATTTGTCAAGGCATATGATGCAGGAGGGTTTTCTCTAGGATCTATGACATATGTAATTGACTATGTTTACAGTACCACACATGAGTTCCCTCCCATTGAGAGAGTGTTAAGTTCAAATAGACAGCTGTTTCTAAAGTCAACTGTTATCCCTCTGGTGTGCCTCTAGCTCTCTCAGGAAATAAATGCAGAGCTCTAAGTGAGGTCTTTGGACAATTAAATTCACAACACTTCCTAAACGATTAAACAGTTCCTGAAGGACCCCATCACACATCTCACAGTGTTTTGTAAAGAAGAAAAGAGATGAATATTTTGAGCTCTTTATTATAAATGAGTTAAATAGTGTGTTTATAGTTAAATTCTGTTGGCACTGAGGGTGAAATGTGGAAAGGACCACAGGAGATGAAAAAAGGCAGAGAGAATCCAGTATGACAAAGAGATCCAGAATGCTTATCTTCTGAGTTAGCCATCTGTTTGTCCCACAGAGGGCAATGTAAGGAAAAGCTGCTGGGTTCCCTTAAGCCTAGGAGGTAGAATTATTTATTGTTCTAGCATATGTATGGAAAAACAGTATCCATATATGCCCAGATAAAGGGATAGGAGACAATGAGTGGTTAAAGGAAACAAGATTTACAAATAATCCTTACTGATAGTACAATGCTGATGTGATATTTGGCCATATCTTCTACTGCATTGCTTCAATCATCATTACATTTTTTTAACCTTGCAGAAAGTAGGCCACTGAAGATGTTGTCACACATTGTGTGAAATTTTTTCTGTTTAGATTCTTGAATTCAATTTATTGTTAAGATCTTTAATTAGTTACAAAAGGAGATCCATTTAATCTTAGACATCAAGAATTTA